CTTGTCAAACATGAAGATAAATACACACGCTTTAAGCAGTTTTCCTGAGCTTTCATCTGAGATTTTGTATAGCTTCCCATGCATGATATATTCATACTTGTCTGCAAGAGACTTCCTCCCACCCCTGGAATATAGGAAGAATTTCTCAGCTGTGCAATGATAATTTGAGTTTTTTCCATTTCATTCTGTTCTGTATAATTATTTGATAATCATTTATCCTACCTTACACCATTAAAAAAAAAAAAAAGGGTGAAAAAGATAAGTAAAATGCAGGAACAGTGATATAAACGAAAGTACCTCTCTTTCAAGCAGAACAATTTCTATGGCGACAAAGATAATAACAAAGAATGTGAAAAAAAGACAAGGCAGAAAAATACCTGATCGTAATAGCTAGTATCTGGTGTTCCATCCATATTCAATGTGTGAGCTAATGCCATTGTAAATTTTTCACCTACATGCATGGGATATATTTCTGTGTTCACATCTAGGTGCATAAACATTTCACAGTTCTGGCTCCTTGCTTTAATACGTGTAACTTCAAGCACATCATAAAGATCAAATCAAAATTTATATTAAAACCCATTAAGATAACACATAAAGAACTCAGATCCAACTCCCTTCATTATTCTTTCTTCTTGTTTTTCTTTTTTTTTTTTAATTATTTTTTGGCCATCTTCATTCTTCTTTCTTGTAAATGAACAAGTAAACTTCAGATTTTCAATCACAAATTTATTCATTGTCCGAGCATTAGTTCAATGATTCTCTTTTTCCTTTACACTCATCTACCCAGTCTCAATTTCAAGTTCCCTCCCCTTTCCTTCTATTCCTTTTTCAGCTTCATATTTAAGAGTTTAACCAAATTGGTACCAATTAACCCGGACAACTTGATTATTGAGTCAAGGCAAGGGTCTGCAATATTTAAGCACACTAACTTATTTGCCCATCAAAAAATCATCAAACAAATTAGGGAGTTTTGCATACAATTGAAAATTAAATTCGGAAGTGACAGATCACATATGACCACTCAGCAAGCGCATGCTGTGAAGAAGAAACTAAGTA